CTCGACCCCGTTTTGGATAGGTACGAGCCGCCAGCGGTCTAAAAACCCTTACCCACTAGAAATTAAACATCAATAACCTGTTCAAGACAAATCGGAAAAATAAGGAATCGCTATCTACGCCGCAACCATCAAAACTGCAATAATACTAACATCCATCAAAAGACAATAAGAAGTTTTACTAATAAAACGTTAATCCTGCTACAGTGAAATGGTATTTCTTATGAAAATATTACCCTGTCCAAGACACACACAAAAAAAATCGGTATTTTATCTAGATTGTAGAGCCTATTTAAGAAAATTTCGGGTGAAATGTATCCCCTGTTTAAGACAGCAAGGCCAAAAACCATACCCTGGCCAGCGTCACGTCCCCGTATAGCAAATATATGGGATTGCCTAGCGGAGCTAAAGAATATTGTTTTTGGGATACTTCCAAAGATTTTATAGGGATCTAAGGAGAAATTGTAAAATTATCTAGGGATCTAGGAAACCCATACCCTCCCCCCCCGGAAAGAAATCACTATTAGATTTCGAAAATTTCTAGAATTTTAACAAAGCTTCTCCAATGTATTTCCATTTCCCATCTAAGTATATTATATGGCAGTTTTCATCTCCACAATTTATTGTTGCAGTTATACAAAATGTTGCAATTAATTAACAGCAAAACTTTGCACTATTTTGGTAAATCTGATTTGTAGCTTTTCTTTTGTACGCATGTGTAGAGATTTCATTAGAATTTGAATGCCCCGCACCAACCCTGGTTGCAGACGTTTTATGAAGTTTTCCCAACGGAAAACTGTTTATTACGACAACAGGCAAACTTCATTTGAAAAGTGAATGGATTACACAACCAGAAATCTTCCACTCGTCTGAAGTGGCTGTCCTTTACTCTGTGATTTCCTTGATTTGACCTGATTTGTTTGAAGGGCCTTTTATATACCTTTGTCTCATGTTTGTCTAGACTGATAACTCTTTGCTGTGATGGATAATTATTTCCCTTTCTCAAACTAAGAAGATCTAGAATCATCTCTGAAAATATGCAACTTTGCTCACAGTTTTTTTTTTTTTTTTCCAACTTTGCTGCAGGATACTGTGGACCGGGCAGATCGTGAAAAACCGGACCGCGCGCTAGCCAATCACAACGCGCGAATGACTAAAATACCGGACCGAAAAAATAATGAAATTATATTTTCCGTCTTTTTAGAAAGAAACTCGTCAACTTCATGTTGTTGGGATCTTGTTGCACAGTCGCATAACTTTACAATTCAAGCATTTCCCGAGTTTTTGGACAATTTACAGAAAGCTGGTTGGTTAACTTCACAGAATCACTTGGGACCCAATGAATGGAGATCCGTATGGAACACAAAAGGCGTCGAGATCAAAAAAATGATATAAAACACAGAACAATATAATGAAAAATATTTTAAACTCTAGTAAAATAGTTAGGAACTAATTATTTCACGAAGTTTGTAAAACAAATAGGTCAGAAAAGAGAAAAAAAAGATGTCGCTTTTCGAGCGGCTTACAGTTCTAAAGATATCATTCGGTTGCGGAAAATCGCCGATTTTGTAATGCGGTCTACTGTGTCAATGCACTTATGTGCGGATGTCGGTATGAAATATCGCCATACAATAAAAATATCGAAAACTGTTATGGTTGTAATATATTTTTTTAGCGCGATGGTTGATGGAAAAAAACTCCGAGTTTGTCCCTATACATGTCCATAGTTAGGGTTACCATCTTTGGTCTACTAGAAGAACCAGCTTGTGAAAAGCCAATGATAAGACACAGCACTGAAAAAAAGCCAATTATCATATTAACCGAGGAAAAAAAAAGAGAACAACAACAAAAGAGAACGCCTTTCTTCCATTTTTTTTAAGAATTGAGATTATAATGTAATGGAGGCTTCCCTTACATAAAGACTATTCGGTTATTTCTCTAGGGTGACGACCCTCATTGAAGGTTTTACATGGCGCCATGTCAACAGGGCCGTAGGTAAATTCAACCGTAGAAACAATTGACTTTCCATTGAATAACCTTTATTTACCACCATTTTGATAATTTTTATATTTACAAATTTATTTTAAGATATACTTAAACAATGCTCATAATGCAGATACAATGCAAAAATATGCAACTAATACTAACTTTATTAAAGTTAAAATATTTTAAATTGCAGTCTAGAAATGAAAAAAATTATGAATGTTTCCCAAATTCACTGCAAAACCTGCTTTTATCTATTGCCTGATGCTGGCTGGCATGCTAGACTGGCACTTACATGCTTACAGCTTCTATTTTGAGCAATAGAAACTGTTGTTAATCCTGTGTCTGGGGGAGGAGTGAAGGGCCCAGGCTGGTCCCCGGTGAGCCGCCCGCAGTCTACATTGGTCGCTAGCTGGTCTGTTATCATACTTTTATCATGCATAAATTCATACTGATCATGAAATTGTAAACTTCACTTTCAGTGATGATGGAATTCTACAAAATTAATGCATTTACATCCTACTAAAAATAATCAACATTACTTTCTTTAGAGACTACTTTCAAATAATTATATTCTAGACTTCCATAGAGTGACCTTTCCTTGGAAAGGAAAACATGGAGGTCAGCCTGACCTTTTAAGGGACTGGTCAAAAGAGCGGATTGTTGAAATGATTGTTGTATTCACAACAATTTCATTTTCTGTTTTATGCCTGGGGTTCATTGATCTCTAAGACTCCAGAATTGATATCTGCACTCCACTCGCGTTCACCAACGAGCCGTTCTTCCACCGAGTCCTCGTCGGTCTGTCGGTGGTATTGAGTATTGGGTGCCCGGCTGCTCCCGGAGAGGCTTAAAACTCTTACCCTCACAGGTGCCAGAACCAGTGAGATCGCTTTGCGATACTTGGGAAGGCGCCAGACGAAGATTAGGGGATCAAGAAGAAACTTTAGGAACATAATATCATCAAGGAATACAAGCGCTATATAGTCCTTCAAGAAAGTGTCGTCGTCATTGTATGATCTGAACATCCATATGTACAAAGAAATAGTGAATGGCCACACTGTCACCATCAAAACAACGATCAAAATAATCGAGCCAATCAAGAAATCTTTCTCTAGTTTCTCGTTGGAGATTCGCGCTGGTCTTTCCTGAACTTCTTCGTCTTCATTGGGGTCTTCTTGGGTTGTATATTCTCCAGATATTGTAATTTCTCCAGATTCATTTCCATGCTCGGACGCTTCTTGGTGTCTTCGCATAGCGCGCACAAATACGAAGTAAATTATGATGTAAATAATGACCAAAGCGACCGAGATTAGAGTGGTGTGCAGAATCAAGTCGATTATGAAGTATTTTTCCATGTCTATGTGAGTCATTTCTGGTATAACGGCGAACAAAATAGCGTAGCACCAAATGGCTGCGATTCCCATCACAGCGAAGGGTGTCTTAACAGCCTTGCTGTACAGGGAAGGATTTTTGAGTGCGATGAGTTGAGCGACGGCGAGAGCGAGAACTGTCAAAAACGACGTGTTTATAGTTACAGCACTAAGAATTTGACTGCTTCGTATCACTTTGATGTAGTCGTCTAAATTAACATCTTTGAGCCACAACACATASACAACGACGAACACTGGTTCCACGATTAGACCAGTCAAGAAATCTGACACTACAATCCCTGTGAGGAAGACTGMGAAGGGATTTCTAAAGCATTTCAGCGGGTCTTTGTAAATGGCGTACAAAGAGATGCCATTGATGACGACTGTAGCGAAAGCGACGATGGATAGAAAAACAGAAGATGATATGCTAACTTTTTCAAAGATATTGAAGTAGTACTCGAAGTCTGTGTCGTTAACATGCGAAGAGCTRTTCGCCATTATCGATGTTGGCTATACTCGAGCAAGCAAATGACATTCGATAGKTGGTTAGGCGTGCCAAGTGTCTGGGAACAGGCTTTGTTTTCARTGACAGCAGGGGACATTGCGTGACTTTKATTTCATTGGTTTACTGTCACGRCATACCGTYTCACCTGTTCAGGTGCTCTATATATTAGGTTTTACATTTGAAAATAATTTTTTTATTCTATTGTTGTTTTGTAAAGGCATTAGAAGATGTTTTCCTTGTTTCAATTCTGTTAGAAATGTTTCAAACGGAGAATGGAAAACACAGAAATGAATATAGCAACAATCTATAGAGAAAACATAGCATCAACTGTTTGGTTAAAAAGTTTTTTGTTCTTTTCCAAATAACAGAAAATACATGCAAGATTTTACTAAAAGCACTCTAGTTCCAATATCTATTTCACAGATTTTTTGACCTCACTCTAAAACATTTAAGTTTTTTTAGAGTGATCGCACTTAAACTGTACAACTGTACAAAATCTAAGTAGTACTATAGATTTGTACTAAAAGTGGACCTGAAGCAAGACGGTATGGAATGCTTCATTTGTATCAATTCAATTTAATTATGCGTACAACATGCACAATTTAGTAAATATAACTTAATAGCACTATTTAGTTTGTACAGTTGCACTCTACTATTTAAAAATATTAYAAAAAATAGTACTAATTTATGCAAATTCCATTTTCTATTGAAAGAGTTTGATCAACACTATTTGGTATGTAAGTGGTAACAGGGACAGCCTTTGATTTTCTGTTGAGAAACTGAGAAGTATCTTGGTACTTTTGCCACATTTGCTTTGAAAATATTGGTAGCCCAAATTTTTTTCATTAATTTTTAGTACCAAGCACATTAGAACACAAACAGCCTGAGTGCGTGCGCGCTCCATTAGTGTTTGTTTTTATTTGTGAATGTAACGAACTTTCATTAGTGAACTGAAGAGATTTTTGAATGAAACTAGTTTTCACTGAATTTACCGTTTATTGTGTACGTTTTAGACTTATAGTAAGGGTACTTCACCTTAAATATATTCCTACGAGCCTGAAAAAGGACTCAAAAGAATTACTTCAATCCAATTCAGTTTTATTATAAATTTATATAATTACAATTATAAGCAGTACCTTATCAAAGTAGGGCAATCGATGACTACAAAATAATGAAACGAGAAGGGAAAAAAATCAGGATACAGTGGTACAGTAGATACATGAAGGACAGGTCCAGGGTAGGAATTCTCATTTGATAGTATATTTAGAAATTATTGCTTGAAAATAAATATTGTGCTGTTACCATATTTTTTTACCTGCTACAGTGTCTGACACAAATATGGACTTTTTTAAAGCTGTAAGCCTCACTCTTTAATTTTTGGCTTTCAGGGGACTGGACAAAAAGAAAGTCTTGTAGCAAGTCTAACACAAATATCGGATTGACATGGAATCACATTGCATTAGCTTTAATAGCAGTGAAACTCCTAAACATTTTTTAGTTATGTGAAAAGATAAATTTAACACCGTAAAAAAGTATGTGGAAAAACTTACTGACGTTTCGGATGTTAATCCTTCGTCGGAGTAAAGAGTAAACATTTTTTATATTCAATCTAAACATTGGTATAATTATTTAAGTTAAGTATAATTATTTAAGACTGATTTCCAGTAAACACTTGTTAAATAAGAACAAAATCATCCAAAAATGGGTGTTCTAATATGAAGGTTTTTACTGCAGTACTAAAATGGTTACTATGAAGCAATTTATACTTGCACACATAAATACAGCAGAAACAGCATCAATAGACCTAATCAGCTAATGCGTTTCCAGCTCAAAACACCTGGGAGTAGAGTGAACGCACTTAATCCGTGCAACTGTACAAAATCTAAGTAGTATTAATTTGTACTAAAAGTGGACCTGAAGCAAGATGGTATTGAATGCTCCATTTGCATCAATTCAATTTAATTTGCGTACCGCATGCATGATTTACTAAATACAACTAAAAAGCACTATTTAGTTTGTACAGTTGCACGGATTAAGTGCGTTCACTATAAGTTTCATTTGTTTGTTGTATTTTCCACATCAACAAAAGCTCTTAGTTTTTTCCACAAGATTTGAATTGGGTGTTAAGGTACATGACAACGTGATAGCTGATCTGGTCTATTCCAATGATTTATGTAGATAGTCATATTAGCTCTCTGTGATTCTGTAGCTGTACATACAAAAAAAAAACTCTACCCAGAACCACAGGGACTTAAGTAACCACTCTGCAGCGAAATATAAAATGTAATATTTTGTCCTATTTCAATCAATTTATAAACCAGCCCTTTAATGTATACTCCTGCCATTTGAGACCTTAAAAGGTATTCAAGGGTCCTTTAATATTTGGTACATTTTTGGCAAGGGCTWAAGGCCACACAAAAATGTAATTCCTATATAAATACTACTTTTTTCTAGCTTTTTTCTATCTCTTATCAACATAATACACTTTTTACAAGACTCTCTACCTGTTTGTCAATGCAATTTTTACAAGGCTAGCTACCTGTGTTATCAAAGAAATTTCTGCCTCTAGCAGTCTGTGATGCCTGTGYGGCCTGTGCTGGCTCACTAAGGTTAGTAGGATCCTCATGTGTAGAGACATGCTGTTGAATTTCTTGTGGGACTCGGTTTGGATCTGTTAATATTGAAGTTGTTCGGCTGATGTCCCTTAAAGCTGATAGCACAGCTTGGGGGAAAAAAGAGAGAAAAAAGGCAGTCAGAATCTTACTGTAACAGTCTTTAAGGCATTGTTATACACCCTTTTAATAAGTCCCGAGGTATTGTTTTTTCCGCACTTGACGTCAAATTTATTCTTTTGAAATTTTTACAATACAAAAGGAATTCAAAAGAATAAATTTGACGTCAAGTGCGGAGAACGTAATACCTTGGGACTTAAAGGGTGTATACTGTGCAATTTTCTCAGTAACTAAAAAATTACTTTTGCTTCTTGCAGGTTAAGCTCAGCAAATTGCAATATTTTTTAGTCAAGGTAAGCTGGGAGCCAGAATCAAGATGGTGGAGAATTGGAATGAGAAACTGCACATGCTCTAACAGCAAATGTGTTTCGATATTGCTAGAAAAGTTGCTTGGGGAGGTGAATATACTCTAAGATTTTAATGCAATGGTATTGCAAGTACTGCACTTAGATGTGAAAAGTTGACCTGAGTTCTACACTATGCAATATTACACTACACGCTGAAAGCAGTGAGACAACCCCTGTTTCATTGTTCAATTCTTCCAGCAACTTGTCTCACAATGGAATTACGAGATAACTTGCTGAGAATATGACATAGCATAACATGACCTCTACTATTCTTATTGCAATTATTTTTTGATAACAATTTGATGACAAAAGCCAAAAAACAGTGTTAATGAGGTCACAACTACCATTTGATGTTATTCCCAAATTGTTTCATTATTGCACTGTCAGTAGGTTGTGAACAAGATAATAATACAGTATTTGTGCTACATTTTTTTCTCTACAAGCCCTGATACAGTGTTTTAATGGAAGAGGACTCACCTGGTCTAAGTGTAGGTAGTGTACACTGTTCATCCATCCAAGATAAAATACTTGTACAGAATTCTTCCCAYGTGCTACCAGTGACTTTCTGATTATAACTATCAAACATTTGTCTAAACATAACAGAGAGCTAATACACAGTTAAGGATCTACAACTAAGACACTTGATTAAATATTATTAAAAATGGATTAAACCACAAAAAGGAATATAGAGGTTAGGAGACATTGTGAGTTATGTGATGTTGTATTGAGCACACTAATAATTAATCTCCACAGACATTACGAGGTTCATTCCTTGGTCTCTCCCACTAGGGGCGTGTGACCTGGGAACGAGCCTCRTAACAGCTGCGAGAGGAGAATAACTGATAATGGAAAAATAGAATTTTAGTATCCACYAAACTATGCGCAAATCCAGCATTCTGATTGGCTACTGACCTACAGTCTTTTCATGTTATACAATGGTGACATTCAAAACAACAAGAACAACAGCAAAACAACTTCCACAAAAGTAGCTGAACAAATGATGAGAAAAGGTTTTTTTAAATGTTRCTTATTTTTTTATCATTTCTCCTATAGTTTGGAAGACACTAAAACAATGTGTTCTACAGCCTCAAGGACTGTCATCTCATAGTCCACTCAACTTTTTAGTCTAATTGTAACTAAATCTAATTTTAAAATCTTACACTGGTTTTTCAGAAAACTTTGGATACTGGAAAAAGTAAATTTCAAGACCAAAATGCATTGTTGGTCGTTCTTTCCCCTTTTAAAGGGAGATTTCATGGTGTCAGAGTGACTATACCAGGTCAGAATTGTCATTTTGTTATGCAGCTAACATAGAGATTAATAACAACACTACATTGCTGTCTTGGAATGCAGTATGCAACATTTCTGAAATCAGGGTTTTCAGTAAGAATTAAAATGGATGTCAAAATAGAACAAGTAACCRTCTTTTTTGCTGCAATCAGTTAACAAAGAACAACCAAATAATTTGCGAATAAATTTGTAAGTAGTGAGCAATTAACTAAGCTATAACTGGCAATTTAGCCAGCTGTTTGCTTTAAAGCCCAACGCACATGAAAGGAAATTTAAGTGTGTTAGGGAAATGCCACGGGAGTCGCTTTGAGCAGCGTGTGCGCACAAACTTTCCTTTCACATGTTGCAGGCTTTACTGTGAACTCTGTGAAATAGCTATACACATGATAAACAACTTTACAACATGAAATTGGAACATATCACAAGCATGTTGGCAATAAAGGATACAACCCAGAACTTGTAATTCTCTTGAGTTCGACTTTTAACATAYTGATTGAAGAATGCCATTATTTGGTCATTACGCTGCAGAATATAAATGAAATTATAATATCAATGAATGTAAGGTTAACAAGACGGTGACACTGCAAAGCCTGGGAGTTGGTAGGATATATATCAAAGGGTGGGGCTACTTGTTGAGAATTTAGAMATTGAGGCCCTCCTAATGAAGGAAATGATTTTAACACCATACAAATCATACCAAACTGAAATTTTTGAAAAAATGAAAAAGGAATGCAGTTTTGGAAAAAAATCAAGATGCAATATGCAAGCTCACATAATTTTGTCAGTTCTGGATTTTATTTGTAACGGATCCAAGACAAGACACCCCCTAAAGTATACCAGATCATTGATTCCTGCAAGGTATGATGAGCATCCTCACCCTTTGATATGTAGGAGCGACAATGTTATTTGTAAGTAGTAAATTAAATAATGATGACAATGGATAAACGCCAGGATGTTGCAACTGAAGCAGGATTTTTACTCCACAATCCTGACATCTAAGACTCTCCATATCAAAATCCATCAATCAATTCAATTCATTTCAGTGAAAGAAGTCTTACTTGTCGGTTCAATGGCACTCCAAATGCTGGTAGTTTTTGCTGACATTGACT